CGCCACCTCGCCCGGCTAGTTTTTTGTATTTTTTTAGTAGAGACGGGGTTTCACCGTGTTAGCCAGGATGGTCTCGATTTCCTGACCTTGTGATCCGCCTGTCTCGGCCTCCCAAAGTGCTGGGATTACAGGCTTGAGCCACCGCGCCTGGCTATGGGAAATTTCAATATGCTATTAGAAAAGCATAGTGAACCCCCCGGCACCATCAGCCATCAGTGATATTCTGTGTATAACAATTCATAGACAGTTTTGTTTCATCTATACCAACACCTATTGCTTATCCTCCTTCTGTGTCCCCCAGTTACTTTAGATTAAATCTTATCACTTCATCTGTATCGGAATGTTTTTCTTTTTTATTAAGAAAATTATTGCCGGGCGCGGTGGCTCAAGCCTGTAATCCCAGCACTTTGGGAGGCCGAGACGGGCGGATCACGAGGTCAGGAGATCGAGACCATCCTGGCTAATACAGTGAAACCCCGTCTCTACTAAAAAATACAAAAAAAATAGCCGGGTGAGGTGGCGGGCGCCTGTAGTCCCAGCTATAGGGAGGCTGAGGCAGGAGAATGGCACAAACCCAGGAGGCGGAGCTTGCAGTGAGCTGCGATCCGGCCACTGCACTCCAGCCTGGGCGACAGCGCGAGACTCCCTCTCAAAAAAAAAAAAAAAAAAAAAAGAAAATTATTTTTGACATAGGGCCTTGTTGTAGTGCCCAGGCTGGAGTGCAGTGGCATGATATGGCTCCCTGCAGCCTTGAACTCCTGGGCTCAAGTGATCCTCCCACCTCAGCCTCCTAAGTAACTGGGACTACAGGTGTGTGCCACCACACCTGGTAACAGAATGGTTTTAAAAACTACATTATCACACTTAAAAAAATTATCTTATTTAAAATAACTACCATTCAGATTTCCCCAGTTATTTCATAAGTGATTTTTTTTTTTTTTTTTTTTTTTGAGACAGAGTTGCACTCTTGTTGCCCCCAGGTTGGAGTGCAATGGCCCGATCTCAGCACACTGCAACATCTGCCTCCCGGGTTCAGGCAATTCTTCTGCCTCAGTCTCCCAAGTAGCTGGGATTATAGGCACCCATCACCACGCCCTTTTTTGTATTTTTAGTAGAGACAGGATTTCACCATGTTGACCAGGCTGGTCTCAAACTCCTGACCTCAGGTGATCTACTCACCTCGGCCTCCCAAAATGCTGGGATTACAGGCATGAGCCCACTGTGCCCGGCCTTCATAAATGATTTTTATGGTTCAAATCAGGATCCATGTAAAGTCCATATATGTGTCTTTTTTTAATCTATAGATTTCCCTTCCATCTTAACCCCCTCTCTTCTGCGATTTATTTGTGGAAGAAACTGAGTTACTGAGTCATTTGTCATCTAGAATGATGTACAGTTTAGATTTTGCTGACTGCATTCCATGGTGTGGCCAAACTGTTCCTCTGTCTGGTGTGTTTCTCATAAATGTATAATTAGATGGAAAGGTTTGATCAGATTTAAATTAGTTTTTTTTTTTCTACAGGGATATTTGAGAGGTAGTGGTATGCATTTCCATCAGGAAGCACATAATGTCTTCTTGGCTCTCTTTGTGATGTTAGTAGCCATCAATTTCAGTGCCTAGATACATTAATTAGATTTCTGTATCTCCTACTATCTCAGAATTTTCCATCTTCTGTCTGTGCTACATTCTGAGTCCTTTCTTCAATTATAAATTCTAGTTCATTGTATAATTCTTGTTAATCTGTTAACTTTCTAAAATTCGCTTTTCATATCTAAAAAATTTCCTTTTTTCAAGTCTGTTCATTCCTAATAGTTCTTACTAATTGGTCATTTTTACATCCTTAACTTTTTCTTTTCTTTTCTCTTTTTTTTTTTTTTGAGACAGAGTCTTGCTCTTTCATCCAGGCTGTAGTGCAGTGGCGCGATCTCAGCTTACTGCAACCTCCGCCTCCCGAGTTCAAGCAGTTCTCCTGCCTCAGTCTCCCGAGTGGCTGGGATTATAGGCACCCACCACCATGCCCAGCTAATTTTTGTATTTTTAGTAGAGACGGGGTTTCATCATGTTGGCCAGGCTAGTCTTGAACTCCTGACCTCAGGTGATCTGCCCACCTCAGCCTCCCAAAGTGCTGGGATTACAGGTGTGAGCCACCGTGCCTGGCCTATCCTTAACTTCTGACATTGCAAACAGTGCAACTGCTATCTGTATCTGATAGTTCTAAGGTCAGCAGCTATTGCTTATTGTGTCTGCTGATTCTCTTGGTAGCTGCCCTTCTTTTGTGTCTAGTTATCTTTGAGTTCATTGTTTGATCTTAACCAGGGGTATTGTATGGGCCAAAATTAGGATTGAGGATATTTTTCTCCATAGAGAATTTTCCTTAACTTTTGCAGCAGCTGAAAGATGCCATTCACACGGATCTACATTAGTCATAATGCCACAATTGGGCAAATCTGCTGACACCAGGACACCTGTGTATATGTGTTTGTCTTTCCAGGAATTCATTGAAGAGTTGCTGTCTCCCCCTTTTGGGGGTTTAGTGGCATTTGTGAAGGAGGCTGAGGCTTTGATTGAGCGTGGACAGGCTGAGCGACTTCGAGGGGAAGAAGGTATGAGGAAAATGCGGTAATGATGGGATCAGTGGTAAGGGAAGTGGAAAAGAAAAATGAAAGGATGCAGATTACATGGTGGGGGAATAGAGTATGAAAGACTGGATTGAGAGAATACCAGAAAAGAGGGTTTGATGGTAAGGATGGCTATACCTTGGGGAGAACTTAGTGGAGTTGAAGATCAGCCAGATCCGTCTCTGACACTCTCTTTCCTCCTGCTATTAGCCCGGGTAACTCAGCTGATCCGTGGCTTTGGTAGTTCCTGGAAATCCTCAGTGGAATCTCTGAGTCAGGATGTAATGCGGAGTTTCACCAACTTCAGAAATGGCACCAGTATCATTCAGGTGACCTGCAAGTCCCAGCCCCCACTCAGATACCCCATCATTTATTATTTTCTCCCATCATTTTGCTGGGCTCAGCATCATCTAAGTTACCCTTGGTCTTCAGTTACTAGCTGTGCCCAAAGTGCTGGATGAGCCCTAACCTGATTTTTTTTTTTTTTTTTTTTGAGAGAGTCTAGCTATGTTGTCCAGGCTGGAGTGCAGTGGCACGATCTGGGCTCACCTCCACCTCTACCTCCACCTCCACCTCCATCTCCCGGGTTCAAGTGATTTTCCTGCCTCAGCCTCCCAATTAGCTGGGATTACAGGCGCCTGCCACCACATCCAGCTAATTTTTGTATTTTTTAGTAGAGATGGGGTTTCACTGTGTTGGCCAGGCTGGTCTCGAATTCCTGACCTCATGATCTGCCTGCCATGGCCTCCCACAGTGCTGGGATTACAAGTGTGAGCCACTGCGCCTGGCTGCCTAACCTGATTCTTAATCATCACTATTAGCACCACTTTACAGTTTGATCCCTCAATGACTTTCTTTGACCAGGGAGCGCTGACCCAGCTGATCCAGGTCTATCATCGCTTCCACCGGGTGCTGTCCCAGCCGCAGCTCCGAGCCCTGCCTGCCCGGGCTGAGCTCATCAACATTCACCACCTTATGGTGGAGCTCAAGAAGCATAAGCCCAACTTCTGATGTGCCGGAAACCACCCTGAGATCTGCCAGTCATCTCCATGGACTTCTGCACCCCATTCCATACCCTTCTTCACCTGGGGGTCCCCCTTCCAGTTTTCCCCTTGCCTCCCAGGCCCTTGACATGGCTTACCTGCCTTCCCTCCCAGCACCTTGCCCAACAGGATAAGCTGGATCTCCTTGGCCGTCTGAATTTCCCAGTGTCTTCAGGTTTCCCAAGACCACTTCCCTGTGGGCTTCCAAAATGGCCTTTATCATTTCTCCAGTCTGTCACCCTCCTTTCCTGCTCCCGTACACCCAAGGCTTGTTTCTTCCCCTGTAAAAACCTTCACTGCGTCAATCTCTGGTTCACTCAACTAGTCACCATGTCTTGAGGCATGAAGCCTCAGCTCTTGGAATTGCTGGCAAGGGGTGACTGCCTCTGTCATTGCGTTTTTCAAAGTGATTTCTTTTCCGTAGTTTTTTGACCTAAGATCTCAGCAATTTGAACACTAACCCCTCCCCTCCTGGCTCAAGAATTAATCCCAAGTCAGTATGCAGAAAATAAATATTTAATATGACATGACACTTCTCCCATTTCCTTTCTCCTTCCTCCTGAAGGCCTTAAGGTAGCCCCATCTCTAGAGTGACCTTTCCTTTCTGACTGCTTCCTGGGCTTATATCCCTTATGGCGGGTGTAACCTCTAACCTCTAGCTACTTCCAGGCCAGAGGAGGAAGGTGGCCCCTGGCTAAAGCAGATGCTGCAAGGGCTGAGAACCAGGCCGCGCAGCCCCAGACACTATCTCGAGGGCTCCCCTGGGACAAGCCCAAGCTGACTCTGGAATCCCTCCTCTGTAGCAGCTCCGTAGCTCCTCTGGTTGTGGCTGTCACAGTCCCTTGCCTCCTGGGCTGCAGCAGCCAACCCACACCCACACCGTTGGGGCAGGGGTAGACCAGGCGAAATTCATCCATGCTGCAAGGGCTGAGGAACCAGGCCGCTTGCGCCCTGGGTGACACTATCTCGAGGCCTCTGGGACAAGCCTGCTGACTTCTGGAATCCCTCCCTCTGTAGCAGCTCCGTAGTTCCTCTGGTTGTGGCTGTCACAGTCCCTTTGCCTCCTGCTGCAGCAGCTAACCCACACCCACACACCGTTGGGGCAGGCAGACCAGGCGAAATTCATCCACACCTACACCGTTGGGGCAGGTAGACCAGGCGAATTCATCCACACCCACACCCCGCTGGGGCAGGGGTAGACCAGGCGAATTCATCCACACCCACACCGCTGGGGCAGGCAGACCAGGCGTAAATTCATCCACACCCTACACCAAGTGGGGCAGGTAGACCCAGGCGACCATCCACACACCTACACCGTTGGCAGGTGGTATTCGTTGGGGCAGGGGTAGACCAGGCGAAATTCATCCACACCCACACCGCTGGGGCAGGGGTAGACCTGGCAAAATTCATCCACACCCACACCGTTGGGGCAGGGGTAGACGAGGCAGAATTCATCCATGTCATCTATTTGTTTGACTTGGAGCCTTCCTGCTGCCCACGCCTATACGCTTCGTTTGACCTTAGGCTCTAGACTGGAGAGACACAGGGACCCCTTTAAGGCCTAAGAGGAGAGGTGCAGTTAAGGAAAAATGGTAATTTGGGGATGTTTCCTGTCTCCTCCACCCCCACGGCCTAAACATTCCCTTCCCAGGTCCCTGGAGAGTGGTGGAAAGAAAGCGGATTCCACTCCCCGCCTTAGGCCCTCCGGATGCGGGTCTAGACCGCCGGCGACGGGAGGTGTCTTGAGTGAGTCTGTGACTGCCGAGCACACCCGCCGCGGAGCGGAGGCTGCTGCGTGCTGAGGCTGAGAGCGGGTCCGGCTCCGGGTTCTCCTAATTGGCGGACGCGGGAGGTGGCGTGGTAAGGCAGAAAGGAGCGGGATCTCAGCTCTCGCCTTTTCAGGGTTCCGCCCCATATCTGAGAGCCGCTCTCTGATTGGCTTGGGAAACCGTATCTCAGCGCTTTGGCCTAGCGACTTTGAAAGTGTTTGCGCCTGAGACCGAAGTGCAGAGGAGGGCGAGCACAGGCGGAGAGGATTGAAGAATCAGCGATTCCTGATTGGCCAGGCGTGTCTTGAGGGCGGGGCCAGAACTGCGTCCTTAAGTGACCTCGCACTTGCCCCGCTCACCCGCTCCGCGTTATTCAGGGTTTACACCGCCTGACTCACTGCGCTATGCGTTCCCTCACACCTGCTGGATGCCAGGCGGCGGTGTGCCAGGCTCTGAGGGGCCGCGAGCTCACCCCAGACGCCAGCCCCGGGAATCCTCTGTTCCTCCACTTTCCCTTCCCGCTGCTGCTTTCTTGGCCACCCACTCCCAGGTGTCACTCTTGGGGCATCCAGATGCTCTGGCATTTGACCTGACTCCAGCCTAAGCGCGAGGACGGGAGAAAGGCCAAGGGTATGAGATTTGGGACAGGAGAGGCATTTAGCTACTCTGACAAAGAGCGTGGGTTCCCAAAGAAAGGGTCCCCAGATACCCCGCAGGGGAGACTGTCGAGACAGACGGCTTTAGTCAACTAATGCTCGCATGCGGGGAGGGCTATGCAGGCAGCCACCACGGTTCTTCACAGCCTTCATTCTTTCCTTCCCCTGTCCGTCGCAGAACCCAAATCCTCAGAGCTGACTGAAAAGCGCGTGTTGTTGAATTCGCTGAGGGGCAGACGTGCGGAATGTGAGCCGTGGGGCGAAGGGACAGCTCCGGAGGCTCGAGATTCCGGAACCCGGTGGGCATTCAAGTGATACTGAAGCACGCAGTTTTCAGGGACATTAAGCTCGCCCCGGGGGTCCACTGGAACCTTCTGACCCAACGGTCTCTCTGGACAGGGTGATCCGGAACAGACGATGAAGAGACAGACTAGCGTGAAAGGGAGCAGCGATGCCTACACTGACCTCCGGAGGGCAGCATGATCAAGGGAAGGAGCTGTTCACGCTCCGCTCAAACCCCCGCGCAGCCTCTGCGGCTTACTCCGGCTTCCCAAGGCGGTGAGGTTCCACCCCCACCACCGCCGGCCCCCGCCGCCCTCTTCGCGCTGAAGCTGCAGAGGGTCTGTTTCTTCAGCCCAAAATCCTCTGCTCTGTGGTTTAAGATTCCCAGGCTTAAACTCGTAACTGCTAGAGTCATCACTCAAACTTCTCCCACACTTGTTTTGGTGATGACGGACACAGGGGCCTCACAGACTCAGAAGCATCTGGAATCATTCCGAAGGACAGAACTGTGTCATTATCCTCTTTCCCCCTGCTAATCTCTGAGAACAGTGTCTGTATATGGCACAGGGGTCCCTAGTGTTATATAGAAGGACTTGGCGATGTCCTCATGGGCTGTAACGGCCCCCAGTGCTATTCAGGGATCTCTGTCCTTTAAAGAGATATCATTTCCCTTTATTTCTCTACCTTTGTGCCCTCACTTCGCCCTGAATTGTTTCCTTAAACTGAGCTTTCTGGGAAACGTTTACTTCGTGTTCAACAGCAAAGTCTTGTGTTCAACAGCATAAGGCGAGGGCGGCAGGGGACAGTGGGGCGGGAGTTTGTTTGCTTTGGCATTAATTTCAGAGCTGCTGAACGTGGACAAAAGAGAGAAGGAACATTCTCCTTTCTTCCATTCCTGTAAATATGGGCCCACCTACCCTCCACTTAAGAAGGGTGGCTTTTCTGATTTTAAGATATCAGGCAGCCGGGCGAGGTGGCTGACACCTGGGATCCCAGAACTTTGGGAGGCCGAGGCAGGAAGATCCCTCGAGGCCAGGAGTTCGAGACCAGCCTGGCCAACATTGCAAAAACCCATCTCTACTAAGAATACAAAAATTAGCTGGGCGTGGTGGTGCCTGCCTATAATCCCAGCTACTAGGGTGGCTGAGTCAGGAGAATCGCTTGAACCTACCTGGGAGGTGGAGATTGTAATGAGCCGAGAGGGCCACTGCACTCCAGCCTGGGTGACAGTGAGACTCTGTCTCAAAAATAAATAAATAAATAAATAATAATAAATAAATAATAAAAATATATAAATTGAGCTTTAAAATAAAGTAGTCAGAGGCCCAGGGTGGTGGCTCATGCCTGTAATCCCTTTGGAAGGCAGAGGCCAGAGGATCTTGAGTGCAGGAGTTTGAGACTAGCCTGGGCAACATAGGGAGACCCCATCTCTACAAAAAAAAAAAGCTAAGCATGGTGGCCCATGCCTGTGGTCCCAACTACTTGTGAGGCTGAGGCAGGAGGATTGCTTGAGAACAGGAGTTAGAGATTGCAGTGAGCTATGATTGCACTACTGCACTCCATCCTGGGTGACAGAGTGAGACCCTATCTCTTTTAAAAAAAAATTTAAAAAGTAGATTTAGTGTGAAGACTCAAGAAAAGAAAGAGAAAGCAAGCAAAACTTTAAGGAGAGGAGAATCGAAATTGGCTGTCTTCATCCTGGACATAATGGACACACCAATTCATGTTACATACTAGAGTTAACTAAGTGTTTTCAGAAGCAGTTGTCATTAAACCAACATAGTTATTGAAGCTCTGCTCTGTGCTCTGTGATGGGCACTGTGGATTCAGCAGAGACTAAATCAAAGTCCTTGATCTCAGAGGACATATTTTCATCTAATTGAATTCATATATCAGCCTTATGAGGAGGTGTTCTTCCTGTTTCAGGTAATGAGCTTGAATTTCAAATAATGAACTCAAAACCATATAGGCACTCAGTGGCTGAAACTTCTGTGCCCACATTCAGCTTTTGTTCTATGACTCCAGGCTGGGAGTCATGGAGCTGAGGAGGTAGCCGGTTGTAGAGAAGCAACAGATTAATAAGTAATAGTAAATTTTGAAAGGATATTTACAGAACTGAAGGAAAAGCTGAACAGGCGGTCTTTGGAAAGGACAGAAGCCAGGATAGTTCCATCGTCCAGGCAGCAGATACCAATAGTCAATGCTTCTACTTTGGGTGAAGAGAGAGAACTCCAATAGGCTTAGGGTGGGTCAGGTGCTCACACTCCTCTAAGGAAGGGGAGGGTCCCTTGAAGAATAGTACCATAGACTACCTAATGTTGGAGGATAATAGCCCCAACGCAAAAATGGGATCCTGCTACCAGACGAATGGGATACAGATGCCAGGTAGCAAAATCCAACAAATGTACACGTGCCAAAATCCTAACTCCATCACTAAGAGCCATGCAATCCTCTGAATATCAATTAGATTAATTGACACTCTTTTTCCTCTTGCTACTGTGGTACATGTAGTAGTTACCTTTATTCTTCACTTTGTTTTCTCATAAGACTAACCAGTTTTTTAAAATAAAGAAATAAAAGCAAAATTGCTTATTGTCTTATTCTATTCATTGGCAAACTAGTAACATTAAATAAACTCCAGACAGAGCTGCTGGAGAAGAATCAAGTACAATTTAGTAGAAATAACACTGTATGTGTGAGGGTGAGTGTGTGTGTGTGTGTGATGGAAAAAACTTTGTCCTGCCCAAACTGTAAGTCATGACCATGCCCCTCTCAGCAGAAGTTTATCTTTTTGGAAGAAGTTTGGAAGAAGTTTATCTCATTTGGAAGAAGTTTATAAGAATGCAGCTTAAAAAAAATCATGTGATTTTGGAGCAAGGTCAAGCCTTTGCTATTGCTTCCACATTTTGTTTTGTTTTATTTATTTGTTTACTTTTTAGTTTTTTGGGGGTTTTGTTTGTGTTTTTGAGACAAGGTCTCGCTCTGTTTCCCAGGCTGGAGTGCAGAGGCACCATCTCAGCTCACTGCAACTTCCGCCTCCCGGGTTCAAGCGATTCCCCTGGCTTAGCCTCCTGCGTAGCTGGGATTACTGGCACGCACCACCACATCCAGCTATTTTTTGTTTTTTTAGTAGACACAGGGTTTTGCCATGTTAGCTGGGCTGGTCTCGACCTCCTGATCTCATGTGATCCGCCCGCCTCGGCCTCCCAAAGTGCTAGGATTACAGGCATGAGCCATTACGTCCAGCTAGTTTTTAGTTTTTTGAGACAAAGTCTTGCTCAGCCCCCCAGGCTGGAATGCAGTGGCATAATCACCGTTTACTGCAGCCTTGACCTCATGGACTTAAGCAATCCTCCCACCTCAGCCTCTGGGATAGCTGGGACTACAGTCACGTGCCACCACGCCTGGCTAATTTCTGTAGTTTTTGGTAAATGCGGTTTCACCATGTTGCCCAGGCTGGTCTTGAACTCCTGAGCTCAAGTGATCTCCTACCTTGGCCTCCCAAAGTGTTGGAATTACAGGCATGAGCCACTGCCCCAGCCTGTTTTATTTATTTAGTTAAAAATATATGAAAAGAGGCCCTGTGCGGTGGCTCACGCCTATAATCCCAGCACTTTGGGAGGCTGAAGCGGGTGGATCACCTGAGGTTTTGGAGTTCAAGACCAGCCTGACCAACATGGAGAAACCCCATCTCTACTAAAAATATAAAAAATCAGTCAGGCATGGTGGTGCATGCCTGTAATCCCAGTTACTTGAGAGGCTGAGGCAGGAGAATCGCCCTAACTCGGGGGAGGTTGTGGTGAGCTGAGATTGCACCATTGCACTCCAGCCTGGGCAACAAGAGTGAAACTCCATCTCAAAAAGAAAAGGAAAAAAAAAAAAATATATATATATATATAAAAAACATATGAAAAGGCCAGGTATGGTGGCTCATGCCTGTAATCCTAGCACTTTGGGAGGCTGAGGCGGGCGGATCACCTGAGGTCAGGAGTTCGAGACCAGCCTGGCCAACATGACAAAACCCTGTCTCTACTCAAAATACAAAAATTAGCCAGGCGTGGTGGTGCATGCCTGATATCCCAACTACTTGGGAAGTTGAGGCAGAAGAATCGCTTGAACTCGAGGGCAGAAGTTGGCAGTGAGCCAAGATCACACCATTTCACTCCAGTCTGGGCACAAGAGCAAGACTCTCTCTCTCTATATATATATATACACACACATATATATATATATGAAAAGCAGGCAGGGCATGGTGATCCACGCCTATAATCCTAGCACTTTGGGAGGCTTAGGTGGGCAGATCAGTTGAGCACAGGAGTTCGAGACCAGCCTGAGCAACATGGTGAAAGTCTGTCTCTACCGAAAATACAAAAATTAGCTCGGCGGGGTGGTGCATGCCAGTAATCCCAGCTACTCCGGAGGCTGAGGCAGGAGGATCGCTTGGGAAGGCAGAGGTTGCAGTGAGCCGAGATGACACCACTAGACTCCAGTCCAGGTGACAGAGCAAGACACTGTCTCAAAAAATAAAAACAAAAAAGAAAAGAAATCACCTGCCTTATGAAGAAACAGTTGGTAACAGATATAAGATACAGAATGTACAGCCCCTGGTATAGAATAAGTCCTTAGAAATGTTAGTTCCTCTCTGTCCCTGTGTGACATGAAGGGAATTCCAAGGCCAGTACCACTTCCTGGTGGCTTCCCTCACTTAAGTGCTGTGTACCCCATTGCAAAAACTATGTCTCCCAGGTTCCTGATACCACATCCCATGTCCTCTGCCTTTGGGGCTGTCATAGGATAAAGTGTCATTTTCTGTATGAGCTAGAAAAGAATCTTCCGAACAAAAGTCTGCCTTGGGAATGATGATATAGCTAAACTGAAAGGACAATTAGTTTTCGTATCCAGACCAACCCAACCTTCAGGGCTGGGGACTCATTTGATGCTCCCATTCAAACAATTGGAGAACATTGTGTCTGAGTACCGGGGCTTTTTAGTATCTTTTCTCCAACTGTTACATCCTTAGGGGCTTTGAATAGTAGAAGAGCCTACAATAGTGGTTCAGATGAAAGCACGCAGGCATGTGGAGAGTTTCCACTCCCTGATCCGTGAGACAAACCTTAGGGTGGAAAAGAGGCTGCTGGGGAGGTTGGCTCTGAATGTAAAACTGGGAGAAGCACCTCCTGTCAACCTAAGGGCTTGTGGGCAGGGGCAACATGTTGACCTGGCTTCCTTTCCACTCTGAGACATCACTGGCTCTCATGCAGAGCTTTTCTTTTCTTTTCTTTTCTTTCTTTTTCTTTTTTTTTTTTTTAGACAGAGTTTCACTCCTGTTGCCCGGGCTAGAGTGCAATGGCACAATCTCGGCCCACCACAAACGCCACCTCCCCAGCCCAAGCGATTCTCCTGCCTCAGCCTCCTGAGTAGCTGGGATTACAGGCATATGCCACCATGCCCAGCTAATTTTGTATTTTTAGTAGAGACAGGGTTTCTCCTTGTTGGTCAGGCTTGTCTCGAACTCCTGACCTCAGGTGATCCACCTGCCTTGGCCTCCCAAAGTGCTGGGATTACGAGCGTGAGCTACTGCGCCTGGACTTTCAGTTTTTTCTTTCTTTCTTTCCCTCCTTCCTTCCTTCCTTCCTTCCTCCCTCCCTCCCTCCCTCCCTTCCTTCCCTCCCTCCCTTCTTTTCTTTCTTTTCTTTCCTTCTTTCTTTCT